AATAAATTAAGAATTAATTATTAATATTTTATTTAATTCAATACAAAAATAAATAAATTTTTATTAAAATTATCTATATCTAGATATATTCTATACTTTTTTAAAATTGTAATATAAATAACTAGTTAATATATATTCTTATACTATTCTCTTTATTTTTTATTAAATAAAATATTTCTATTTTAAGTTAGAATGTAGACTTACTTTATTTAAAACTAAATTAATAATTTTCTTAATTTTTATTATAGTATACTTGTAAAAACCTGTTTTCAAAATATTTAATATTTTTATTTTAAGATTTCTGTAGTTTTATATTATATTAAATATATTTATTTTATTATTAAAGTCTTTCTTTACCGCGGAGCTAGTTAAGGTTTGGTAATTTATAATTAATTTATTTTTATTAAAATTTACCTTGATAGTAAGATATATGAATAATAATTAAAAAATTGATTAATAAATTTATATATATTAATAATATATTTTTAACTTAAGATAGAAAGCTTATAATTATATTTAAATTATTATATAAATATGTATTTCCATGTATGCGAGGATCCGTAAATTATATATAATATTAAATAATTAATATTTGATATCTATATTACAATATATCTGAGTAGATTTTCTAGTTATTCCTCGAAACTATTATTATATTTTCTATACGAAATAATATAAACTATTACTATTAATATATTATTTCTATCTTAAGTTAGAAAAATAATATATATATTTTTCTTTAATTCTTTATTTTATTATTATTTATTATATATAATAATCTCCTACAGATTACAGAGAAAGATTATAATAATAATATTTTTTTTACTTATATTTATATATAGATTTCCAAGGCTGTTGGAAATAATATAATCAATTAAATATTTCTATATTTTAATAAATTATTTAAAAGTCTGTAGACTTATATTCCTGTATTTTAAAAAAATTTAAATAAAAAAATATTAAATAACTATATATTTCAGGACTTTAATTATTTAATCTTAAATATTTTTTATAAAATTTATTTATAATTATTATATTAGATATACTTCTGTATTATAAATTAAAAATTTTATAAAAATAATATAATATACAGACTCAGGAATCTTTAATAAAAAATCTAATTTATAATATTAGAATATATATTTTAACTATAATTATATTATATTAAAAAACAGAAATAATATATTTTTAGAATTATATTTTTTAGAAAATTACAGGTAGTCTTTTCTCAGCTAATTTTTTTAATATTTTCTGAAATTAGAAAAAATAATTATTACAGTATATTAATTATTCTAGATATCAGGATCTGAAAAATTCTTAATTAATTATTATTAAATACCTGTCAGTATTACTTAGTAAAAATTAAAACTTTTTATTTAGAAAATTTACTAATTTTCAGATTTTAAATCTTTCAACTTAAATTAGAATTTTCTTTATCTTAGTATTATAAGACTAAGTTAAACTTGTCTTATAAAATTTTAAAATAATAATATTATTATATATTATAAAATAATAATATTATTATATATTATAAAATTAAAATATTTTATATTATAATTAATTTTATAATATTTATTAAAAAGGTCATATATCTTATTCTATTTTAAAAAAGAATTAATTCAGGTAATATAATTAATAAAAATACTAAAAAGCTAGTAAAACCAGTTCTTTATATTTTTTATTATAATAAGAAATTTATATTCTTTCTTTAATTTCAGAGTCTATAGATTAAGTATAAATAATAAAAATATATTATTCTGATCCGGCTGATAAATGAATTATTTATTTATTTTTAATATAAATAAGATTTTAAGTTCCAGGTTGTCAAGACAGTAAATATTAATAATTTAAAAATAATTTTATATATAATAATTAGTACTTTCTGATTTAAATTAAAAATAGAATATATTTTATTAATTATATTTTATAGTATACAACCAATCTTATCTTTCTAAATTTAGTTTAATATCTTATATTTACAGAAATCTATATATATTTTCTGGATAATATTAAAAAATATTTTTCTTTAATATCATTCTATGTCTAAAATAAATTTTAGAAATATTTTATAATAAACAAAATAATTAAATTTTTAATATTTATTTATCTAATCTCCTGCTGAGAAATTAATCCTTATTAAATAATATTTTATAAATTATTAATTATTTATTTATCTAGAAGCTGTATAATAATAAGTAATATAAAATTTATATTACTAGTATTATTAAATAACTTAGCTAACTATTCTAAAATATTATTTTAGTTTTTTCTTAAAATAATATATTTAAAAAATACATTAAGTTAGGTTCGTCTAATTCTAGTAATAAATAATTATTTAAGTATATAAATATAATCCAGATCTAATTTTTTATTTTTTCTTAATTAAAAAGTCCCAGTTTACTCAGGCTAGTCTGGATTTATATTCTATATATTAATTATTATCATATCTATCTATATGTTTCTAAGTTTCTTGTTAATATAAAAGTCCTTAATTTTAATAAACTAGTAAATTCTATTATTTTTTATTATTATCTTATATTTTTAATCGATTTTATTTAATATAAAATATTTTAATTTAAGTTAGAAACTTAAGAGAGCAATTATTAATATTAAAATTTTATTATAAATTTAAGTAAAGATCTGTACCTGAACAGTATACTTATATATAAATAAATATAAAAAATAATATTAAAAAATTGAATAAAAAAGGCTACATGCACTGGGATAATATAATTCTAGATTTTTATATATTTAATTATCTATAAATACTTCTATTTTTAATTTAAATTAAAAAATAAAAAAAATAATATTAAAAAATAAAAAATAATAAATTTAATCTAAGAATACAAGACAACTATAATAAAATATAAAAATTAAATAAGAAAGAAAAATATAATTATATAAATAAATATATATAGAATATTAAACCCCGGGGTCTACAAGTAAATAATTTATATAAAAAATATAATATTTTATAACAAAGTTTTAATGAATATAATTAGATTTATTCTCTGATATTTTCTGTATTGAATATATATCTGAAAAACTATATAATTAATTAGAATAGATGTTTTATTATATTCTAACTTAAGTTAATAAGAGTATATATCTTAAATCTCTTAGTAAGTCTTTATAAGCTTTTATAAGTAAGTTCTCTTATCCAGTAATAAGTATTAATACTGAGCTGAGCCTGGCTAAACAGAGCTCAAAGCTTAAACAGGCAGGTTCCTAATCTTCTAAAGCTCACCTGGCTCGCCCGTTTACCATGTCTAGTACAGACTATAATATATTAATATTTTTTATAAAAAAATATTTCTTAAAAATATATAATCTAGATAAAATAAATAATACTAAATATTAAAATAATTATTAGAATAAATATAATTATATACTAAATATTCAGGTTATTTATAAATAATCTCTTACTTTATTTTATTAAAGTATTTTGATAATTATTAATATAACTTACTCTTTTACTGCAAGTTATATTTTTATTTATTTATTTTATTATTTTACTAGTAATATTACATCTTAATATTAAATAAGAAGTATATATAATTTAAGCTTTCTAAATTATAAAATATATAAAATTCTTAGGATCTATTTTAAAAATATTAATATATTACTTTGTGTAATGCTTATTAGGACAATACTTATTATTATAATATTTATTTTATAATATTTAATACATTTAATTAGGTTTAGAGTCTGTAGAAAAAAGTACTAATCTAATTTAAATTTTTATTATATATATTAATTTAATTAAATTTCTATTACATGTATTAACTATATTTAAAAAGAAATTATTATTATTAAATACTTATAACTCCATAGAATAATTAATTAAAAAAATAAAAATTATATTGCTGTATTCCCTGTGAAGAGCTTTATTAAATAGTATTATTTATAAATTTATCAGACATCATTTGACTGTTGTTCTGTTGTGAAGATTTCCCTACTAGAATCTCTACAGAGATTATAAAATTGCTCTTCTGTATAGGTCTTATCTATATTTTCTAATATTAAATATTCCATAATTAATATCCATGTAAGAAATTCAAATTATAATTTATATATTATCAGGAGACTTGCTATAAACAGAAAGATAATATAATCAAGTTCTATAACTATATTATATATCTCCATGAAATCATCAATATATTAATAAGAAGTAAAGTAATTAAAATATATTCATTTAATTAATTTTATAATTATTAATTAGCATTCCACAATACCATGGCCTAATATAATAGAGTGAATCAGTTTGAACATATTATCAATATATCTCTTATTTTCTTTAGATTTTCTGAACTGTCTTCCCACCTTATCTCCCAGTTAACTGATAAGATAGTCAGTCAGGATCATTGAAAAGTTATGCCACGCAGTATATTTTGCGTGTGTGTCAGGGGGTCTGGGTAGATCCAGGTCAATCAGGTCCTCCAATCCGGCGTTCCTGAATGCACACTGAGTTGCTGCTGGCGTAGGGGTCATCTGGGTTAGGGACATGCCCTCGAATATGATGCTTCGTCCTACCGCGTATGCCATGGCGCCAAATTAGTGTGCTTGGCACGGGTAGATCCGACGAATGTATTAAATAGAGCGTCTTTTGACGTAGTAAAGTGTTTAAATTGAGTGTTTGAATAGGATTGAGATGATCCTCCAAGACCAGCGCGTCCTTTGCCCCTACCACCTGTAGGGGTCGTAGGCCCTCTGCTTCGTTTGGGGTCAAGATCCGTGATATAGAGGTTTGAATAGCTTCACAGGAGTATAGCCGGGCTTATAACCTGTTGAGGCACGTAATTACTAGCAAAGCAATGAAACACGAGAGCGAATTAGTGTGTTGAATTGGTGGCTATCTGGCTGCTAGCAGAACAAAACAAGGGTAGGCGCGGGCACGTGACCTCCGCCTACTCCGGCGTTGCCTCATTATTACTTCAACAGAAGATGACATAAGTCATGTCCCCTCTTAGTCTCTGTTCTTCTCCCCCTTCCTTCTTCAACAACATCACCCTTCTTTCTCCTCCCCACTTTCAAGTAGCGATCTCAATCTACATCCGGCCCATGGAGTCTTCAAATACTTGTGTAATCTGCTCTCTTGGGATCACACGAGCGGAATGGACATGGGATCTTAATACAGGTATATGCTCTCCCTTATAATTTTACTGTGTTAAAACCTAAAGGGTGAAAGCCATGGTCAGCAAAAATCGTGGAGTCGACTTTGGTTCAATTCGTTTTGAAAAGAACGCCTGGAAGCAAGTTTGCAGAAGTCTGATATGGCCTGGGCAGCAGACACTGATTGGACTAACTCCTTCATCGGACTACACACCTGTAGACGCCTTTATCATGCATGCGTCTTGCTACCGTCTATTATGCCACTTCGCAAAGTCTAACGTCCTACCTATGCAGTTGTATAGACTATGCCAGGCAATTCAACCTGACCAGGCTAGGCAATTCCTGAGTGATATGGAAATAGCACCTAATAGTAAGCATCTCTTGGGCCTTCTTCTGACTATTACTAAATCCGCAAGCAGCATGTCCAGATCCTTTCACACCCCTGAGGCCTCAAAAATCCATCCCTTCATCCAGGGAGACGTGCTTATTTCTGCAGGCCAATCTTAATAACGACAGCTCCATACCCTTGTTCAAACTACCTTCTGAGGTGTTGCTGCTTGTACTCGGCTATTTGTCCCCTTCAGATTTAGTCCGTTTCTTTCGAACCAGCAAACAAGCTTTATCCTATGCTAATGTGTTTTGTTGTTCACATCCGTTGCATTTCTTCAGGTGCGATGCTCACACAGGCAAAGACTCAGATGATAAACGCCCTCTGATGATTGCTTTTTCCATCTGGCCTCGGTATCATGAGCTTGATTTGAGATGGCAGATTGTGATAAAAATCGCTGAACTGGCCAGGCTGCTACCATTATTAGATGTGAAAGCATCTGCTGCCCGAGACCTTGATCACGAGGGTCCTTCCCTTATTGGCTTTCAATATGGGCTATCTGAGGAATTCATGGACATTCCCGTCACAGTCAAAAGACTTATAGGGTACGCCATACTGCTGAATGATGTGTATTATGTCTGCGGCGTTGGTTTCATAGCCTGCGGTTCAGAATCATTCATCGGTAGCAAGACTGGCAGCCTCCGCATAATCGATATCTGTCATTACCCAACTGATGAAATATGGCTTGCTGAGGACGCGCTTGGAGTCAGAAGTTTGAAATATGGAAACTCGCCATGGTTGTTTGGTGATCCCGAGTACCTCGGTTGTTGGGAGGGGATAAGTCTGAGACACGGTCCTAGGAGGCTGAGGATCAGTCGCGATGTAAGTAAGCTAGTAATTCTTCCTGGGATATTAGTTCATGGGACATACAGGCTCTAAAGTTCCGACACCTAAGCTGGCTGCATCAAAGTGACCTCTTTTTTGAAGAAACCCTCCTTGTTCGAAATGAGCATCCGTCTAGGTCAAGCCAAAATGTTTTAGAAAGAGAGCTTTACGTTCAGCAGAATCCAACATGGGAGAGTGAATTAGTGAACAAATTCGGTAAAGTTCCCACAGAGGCTATGTGGTTCAGTAAGGATCTAAAGATCATCAAGATATATGCTGAAGGGAGGCTCGGTGGCATAACTGGCATATCAATGTGTACGGGGTCAGATGACCATAGTGTTGGTCTTTGCAAGGGCCGTTTTTCGTTCTTGGAACTGCGCACACCTCACGAGATTGTGACGGAAATTGACGTGTGGAAATGTGAAATCTCCCCATTAGCTCTCACAGTGAGTGATATACTTCTTCTTGCTAGCTTGATAATAACCTCTTACTCCCAAAGTTCAGAACTAATCATAACCGCCAATTGTCGACCGAGCCTTGCCAACATGGAATAGAAGTTTCATTCAGCATCAAGACTCTTCGCGCACCACCAAATTACCATATAAGGGGACTTCTTCTCAGATTTGAAAATTCAATTCTGGCTTGTATAGGCTTGATTTTGGGCCAGGTTTAACACATTGGTTAAAGTCAAAGATGAAGAACTCATTATCAGACGATGCTCTATATTTGGAATATGCCGTCCATTACATTGTTAGCCGTAATGGCAGTCGATCACATAGTAATACAAAGGTTGTGATATGTTTTCAGTTGCACCAGGAATATTTCAGGAGATGACCAGGATATCTCAGATGCGAGACAGCGTGGACGCCCACGCTCAATGGGACGGGCATTTACACTCCTAAAAATGTTCCAGGTTGTCGATATGGCTAGCCACCTCGTCACCTTCTTACAGAGTTAGTTAGCTAGCCTACACACACACACACAATATCATCATATTGCTGTCACATGACGGTTAGGTTAAGATATAAGAATCCTTTTAACTGTACAGTTAAGGGTAGGTTACGGTTAAGTGATTTCCTAAACTAATTTTAGTCATAGATTAGGAAGATCAGATATAGTCAGAAGATTAATAACTGCAGATTGATTAGTTACATGCAAACAGTGCAAAATAGTGTTTGTCTAATGTGTTATTTCCCCGTGCTGGACAGGCAGAACATTTCTATCTAGTATTTAAAACTCTATTTTACTGCACATAACAGTGTATTCTTTACCTGGAGTAATGAACAAGATATATATTTTATAATAAGATTAGTTATCCATCCAGCAGTATATAATTATAAGTATATTACACTACTATTTAGAGTGGTTAACGGCCAGGGTAGGGTAGGTTAATGGGAAAATCTATACCTTCCGTCAGGTTAACGGTTAGGTATAAAATATATATATACCTAACCTAGGTTAACCGCGGTTAACCTGATTTGCTGATCTTTTCTTATCTAAGAAAGTAGTAAAGTCTAGTAATAAATTTCTGCCTAATTTCTGCCTGATTTATATCTCAGCTAGCCTAATGTAGTTAGACTGATGCTTGAATATGCCTGATTTCTGCCTGATCAGGTATAACAGTTAACCGCGGTTAACTATTATACCTGACGGTTAATAGATTTTTATACCTTAATCTAACTGTCAGGTTACGGTTAAGGTTAGGTTAAGGTATAACGGTTAGGTATAACCACTCTACTACTATTATTATTTCCCTTGGTAATAGAAGGCCGAGTATAACTAATATTTTATAATAAAGAAATACTGGAATCACTTATTACCTGAGCGGCTGAGCCTACTGGAGACCAGCACATCCGACTAATCTACTAACTTTTAAATCTACATAAGATTCCGGGGGAACTGAACTCTAGTTATTATATCTCAGAGGCTTATAAAATACTATTACATTTTTCTGTAGTCTATAAAATTAATACTATCCTCTGTTTCTGTAATAATCTGCAGAAAATAACATAGAGAACTTAGAGAAATAATAATCATCAGCGAATTTTATTAGATAATTATCATAATACTAATAACAATAACAAGATCACAGAATTAGTAAAATCTAATAAATTCAATAAAAAATTATAGTCTGATAAGTTCTTCTTAATAATGCCGAACTCTTTAATTTCAGCTGGGTAGCTACTGTCGCTGCTGCTCCTATGCTATATTCTCGACTGGATAAGCAAGTGATCACTATATTATGACTGCCAGTTTGTCCAAGGATATATGTATTATGGCCATATTATTCACAGGCATTTCTTCGTGCTGTAAATCCAGCTTTGCTGCGGCTGTGACCACCTCTAATAGCAGAGCTCATAATAATGAAATTGTATAATTATCAGATGATACAGGTACTCTCTTGGCTATTATGTTTTTATTTTTTTTAAGGTTTATAAAGTGGTAGCAGCGGCACGTAGCCTTTGGCAAAGAGAGAGAGGAGTCATGGGAATCAGCTTCTTAGTAGGATAATGTTCTTATGGTAAAGGTCCAGATATGGAGATTCACCACGTGATTAAGTATTGTGTATATAGTATTTAGTAAGGGTATACTTGACAAGGTGATCTGGTATATAATATAGGAAGATATCAACTTCCAGGGAGATTTATTGATTGTATCTTTGAAATATAGCTGTGATAGGGCTTACTTAATAGACTTATTATTTTCTATGAATGAAATCATTGAAATATGGATAGAAGAGGATGTTTTTTGTCTTATAATGGGTATATACCGCCACAGGTATATTATATATCTAGCAGATTATCCTTGTTAATTATCAATGATAGTCTAAATGTAATGGAGCTTCTGTCTAACTATTATAAAGTATAGAGTGGTTATACCTAACCGTTATACCTTAACCTAACCTTAACCGTAACCTGACGGTTAGGTTAAGGTATAAAAATCTATTAACCGTCAGGTATAACAGTTAACCGCAGTTAACCGTTATATCTGATCAGGCAGAAATCAGGCATATTCAGGCATCAGTCTAACTATATTAGGCTAGCTAAGGTGTAAATCAGGCAGAAATTAGACAGAAATTTATTACTAGACTTTACTGCTTTCCTAGATAAGAAAAGATCAGTAAATCAGGTTAACCGCGGTTAACCTAGGTTAGGTATATATATATTTTATACCTAACCGTTAACCTGACGGAAGGTATAGATTTTCCCATTAACCTACCCTACCCTGGCCGTTAACCACTCTAATAAAGTATTAAGTGATAATGATTGTAGAATAAGATTAAGTGATATACTGTACTTATTTTTAGATAGTCCATTGCAAATTAAAACCTGATTTTGATTTGTGGTGCTTTTCTTTGTTTTCTACTTGATACTGGTACTCACTCCTGGAGCCCTTTGAGCATAATATGATTATAAGTATTTGTTTTATGAAGAGTGAGAATTTAGAGATTAATTTAGACTTTTGTAGATTGGTACAGAACATGACTAAAATATATAGTATCCATGATGAGAATATCTGTTTATTAATCAGGATAGTATACTATATAAGCCAGTAATGCAGTAATTATTAAAACAAATATATCATGATCTATAATTTCAAGTATATAAGTCTATAAATCTGGTTAATTCTGAATATATAACCAAACTTCTAAATTAGTACTCTTTTATAGAGCTGAAACATGACTATCAGGAGCAATAGCTTAATAATACAGAAAATTTAAATCTCCAATATAGTAATCATATTGGTTGACAGATCAGATATCCACACAAGTACTGAGCAAGAAATCTAAGATAAGAATTACTTTTAAAAAAAGAAAATATAATGACTTCATCATCCTTACTAGTATAGTGCCATATAGTCGGCAGGCCAGCTAGAAAATACTATTCTTTTTTATTATACCAGGAAAGTTATTTTATATAATTTTCTAGAAGGGCTTACTATTTATTTACAGATTCTTAAATACTAGACAAGTAACAATTAGTAAAGACACAGAGAGTATATTTATAATAAATTCTAGCAGCTCTGCGACGCTCTTGAAAAGTCTAGATAATATATTAAGATTAGTAAATTTCAGCACCTCAAATACTAAGTATAATAGATTGTTTTTCTCAAGAAGACTATTTAAATTAAAGACATTATTTATTAAATTTCTGAGATTAATACCAGTAAAACTATTTATAGTTCCTGTGTTGCCTTTAATACTGTAATTATATTAATATCAGAAATTTGATCAGAAAAGATAAAAATTAATAAAGATTTCTTATCTTTTAAGCTCAGGATACTTTAACAGCTAGTTAATTATATCCAGGTTTAATTAAATAAGACTAAAGTTAACTGGAGTCTTATACCAGTTATCTAGGATTTATTCTTATTTTTTTTTGTAGATGAAGTTACCTTCCTCTCTATAGATTTTATCGAAGATCTGAATATACTTCTTGGCTATAAATAATTAGTATATTTATATATTAAACAATCCTTTTATCTACTTATTTAGAATACCGTTCAGCTTATCTTAAGAATAATTCCGGAATAGCCGCGCGGGGAAGATATATTCTGTATTATATATAATTAGACTGGTTATAAAACTATAGTAGAAGTTCAGATTGCTTTAGATAGTCTTATTAAAATATAATTTTGTGTGCTTTATTATAAGATTTATATTAAATATTTTATCAGTGGACATGTTGTACTATGATATAAAATTATCTATATTTAATTTATAATTATTATCTGTAATATAAATATCATTACAAGTATTAAAAAAGTTTAACTTAATAAAGTTATAAGAATTAATAAGACCCTGGAGATCACCTGTAGTTATCTAAATAAAAGAGATATTATAGAAGATTAAGATACTTTAAAAAATTTATATATCTAGTAGTTCTTTTAAATTTCCTAGCAAGTTGTTGACACCAATGTTACAGCCTCTGATAAAAAAGCTTGGATCTAGAGATAACAGATTTCTAATTCTAATTATATTTATAAGAGAAAGAACAGTAGTAAGATTAATATTTATATTATATACTAAAATTATTAGCAGCTGATCTCATCCTAGAATATATAATCTATATTATATCTTTATTAATGGCTATGATTGCAGCCCCAAACTATCTCTTATTAATATAATAACTGGCGTGACTGGGCTATAATCTTCTTACTGAAATCATACTGTTACATAAGATATAACCATAATTTACCAGTATATTCAAGCCCGGGCAAGGATCTCTTTGATTACTATTTTCAAAATCCAGAGATTAAAATACATGCTTTCCAGTAATTAAGTAATCCAATATTAGTGAACCAGTTGTAAAATAAGATTTCAAGATCTACTATTAATAAAAAACTTCAATAATTCTGTAAGAAGGTCTTTATTGTATCCTAACATATCTTATTAATAATTATTAATATATGAATATCTCTTATACATAGCCGCATACTTTAAATAACTATATTTTATAAATTCTACAACAAGAGGAACAGCAGCCAGGGGCCAGATCTATAATAGTATAATAGAAATATACATAATAAATAAGTAACTTTGGTCAAGTAAATAAAAAAAAGAGAAAGAGAGAGAAAGCTTTATATATAAATTATAATAAGAAAAATAAAAATAGTATTAACCTCTATAAGCACCAAGGTGAATATGACTTGGAATTAAAACCAAGATTCTGGAACTATATTTAGAATCATACTTTTTATATTTTATAAAATCTCCCGTTGCCTGCCGGAAATAGCTAATTAATATAATTAATAATCAAGCAGGCTATATACTCAGGCAGGCCAACCTGCTATTCTATATAAAAGATATCTTTTAAATTCTATTATATCTCAGCTAATACCATCCTTAAGCACTAACTATATATTTATATATATATATATAGAAAGAGAGAGAGAGAGAGAAAGAAAGATAAGATATATAAAAATATTTTATTAATTTTCCAGATTTCTGCAAATATTATTTTTATATTTATGTAATAAATAATTTCCTATTTAATATATATAAGATACAGGTATTTCATATTATTAACTATTTATGTAACTATGTGAATTTTATAGAGAATATTAATATTATTTATATTATCCTAAATTCATATACTAAAATCAAGTCTTCTGGAGTTTTTATAGAGGAGATATCTTAAATTTGATAAGGTATTTTTAATATAGAATAGCAGGATGGTTTAGCTCACTGTGTAGCCTGCAGCATCTTTGACTATTGATTATATTATGATTCAGAAGTGCTGATTAATTGCTTCACGGTGAGAGGATCATCGGTTGATGGGCATCAGGGGCATAAACGATTTGGGAATCTCTTGGCTATAATTCCAGTGAGCTGGGAATTCTTTGCGAGCGAAAAGGCCTTGCACACAGGCATTAAGCCTGGGTGTATCTTCAAGCAGGGCTAATATCAAGCTTATTCCCGTTTGTTGTGTGGGAACATGATGACCCCAGTTCCTCGCTGCATAGGAGAAAAGGGGGTATGTGTCTAATCGCGCTTCAAAATCCATGTCTGTGGAACAGGGGCCTGCTTTGAAGGGGTCGAAAGAGAGGTATGTGACACAAGCTGTCGCAATGCCATGATGTGCGTCTGAGAACCACCTGGTCCACGTTCGTTGGAAGAATTCTTGTGCTGTATAATGTACCAATCGAATGACATCACTTTCTTCGTCAACTGTGACCAAGCCTGCACAGACAGAGATGATGTCATCCAGAAACGGAATGTTGTCTCTGTCGAATTCTGACTCCGCTTCTACAGCAAGTGCATGTTGAAGCTCTAATGTATTGAGCGGCCTCGTTGCACTGTTGATCCACGATAGAGCATCGTGTGCAAGCTTCCGGGAATCCCTGTCCTGCCCTTCAATTCGCTGCATCAGATCTTCGTATGCATCATTGTATGCTTCAGACCCCTTCGCAAGGCCCTTTAGAGCCTCCTTTACTCTTTTCGTGGTTTTTTTCGATTTCACCGCGTCGAAATGAAGCTGTGCGAGCAGAAACCTAGATAAATGTTAGGTTGTTCAGTGCTACTCAAACAGGGGAAGTTACTGACATTCCATCGACAGCTTTCGTGATTTCAGTTTGAATCTCTTCACTGTGGGAGGCCAACAGCCTCGATTCACATTGCAATATCCTACTTCTTAAATATTCCCGAACATCTTGATCATGTGCACGGACTTCCAGTGTCATGCAGTCTTTGAATCTCTCAGTGATTTGTGGAATGAATCGTGAAGTGGCAAAGGTATTTCCACCGCAAGTTGCCTGGAAGTTCAGAATTTCCTTGATAAACCTCGTTCGACAGTTATTAGATGTCTGACATTCATCGAGCGCATCTATTATAATAAAGACTCTCGAGTACATAGCACCCACAGATCGGAGTGTCGTTGAAATTTCGTCGAATTCTCGTCGGGTCCGTCTATGTCTATGCCGGTCATAGAGGCTGCGCACAATGCCTGGGAGGGAAGGCCGGCATTGACTTAATTGCTTTAGGAGACTTGTTATTAAGGCTTCCGCACTTTGCTCGTTTTGCCGGCGGAAGTCACAGTAAACATACGCAATTCCAACGGATTTGTCATGTAGGAATCGGGCAGTAATGTCATCTGACTGCTGCCGTCCATATTGTTTTTCCTGCGCCGGGAATACCGGGACAGAATAATCTCTGCTTGTTTGAGCTCATCCATGCCTGGTATATTGCAGAGTCTAAGAACCACTGCGCAGTCCCTGACTGTCGTCTCTTGAGATTGTCACTGTGTTGAGGACCGTAGTCGATCGGTGTAAGCCATTCAAGGATATCAAGTTCTCCTTTTCTGTCGAAGTTCGACTTCATTGTTTCAACGTTAGTCTCGGTTCTCGATACACACTCCAATACTATGGGGCTCATTAGAAAACAGCTTTGAACGTGACATGTGGTCTTGGGATAACTAACCGTCGCCAAGCATGTCTTTCACTGGGCGCTCCCCATCAACATCGCTTGGCTGGACATACTCCAGAAGCTCCTTTGAATACGCCACTGCAACAGCTGCAGCATACTCTTGCCAAGATTTGGTCTTTTTTGAGTCCGCATAATCGCAAATGCCCCGGATCACAACATAAGGAAAGTTGTTCATCAACCCAGCTGCTTCCATTTCAATACACAAGATATTCCCGCCGAGGCTCTTGTTTAGATTATCGCGGAAATGAGCGTCCTTGATAACCTGGTTACCGGACGCTATTAAACCGTAGTGCACATGTCCTTCTCCGTGTTGGCTTTCTCTAGCGCAATTGTCGGAACCGGACAAAGGATCCACAAGAGAATCACATCTGGTATACTTTGGCATCAGCCTAGGCCATTTCTGCCCCATGTCATCCAAATACTGATATATCTTGGGTCCGCTCATCTCATGCATTGTTTCCAGCTTCGTCAATGCCGTCAGCAGTGCCGTCGGGGGGTTATTCAGTACGCCGGTTCTTTTGAAGCCACCCTCTGCTTCTGCCTTGCCCAGATCCCACTGGACCACCCCTGAACACTGATTAACGGGCGTACCGACCACGACGTCCCCGAGTCTGACCTTTGGTGGAATGCCGCCGCCAATACCAACCAGGAGGCCAACCTTAATGGATGGGAAAGTGCCTACCATCCGAGTTGCAACCGCCGATGCTGAATTCGTGCCGTACTGGCCTTTCGGTAAGCAGGCTATAACGATGTTGTGCCTCCCGATGCACCCCAAGGTGTAAGTATTAGGGTCGCTTGGTGGTTTTGGTAGATGTGGATGGATTTCATCTAGCATTGCTGTCGCAGCCGTCTGCTCCTTTGGCAGCGCACATACCCACCCGACTGTGTAACTTTGTGTTCTAGTTTTGTTGCACGAGGATTGTCGTCGACACTGGAGGTCAGTGCCTTGTTGATAGCAAGTTTGTTGTCACCGCTAAAGCCATCCTGCCTCGACGACATATTGGGGTCGGTCTGTGGGTTTTCCATAACAGAGGACCATTCGTGCCTTCCAGCGTATTCTGAACCTGGAACCAAGAGCTGATGTGGTATTCAGGGTGACGTCGCGACGCTTCGATGCTCAAATATAAGAAAACAGGGTATAGCGTACAGTGATAAATGGCGGACTTCTCGAAAGGAAAATGGTATGGACGAGACCTGGGGTAAGTTAAAGGGAAAGCGACTGCTTCTTGTTGCGGTGGGGTAGGGTAGGGTGTGAGGTAGCCGTGGGGGCGCAGCTCAGCCGCACTGACAAGGCTGGGGGAAAAACTCCCACAGCCTTACATTGGCAATTTTCTAGATTAAATCACTTGGTTTGCAACTGTCCTCACTGCAAAATCCCCCTCCTGCTCCTTAGACAGGTGGTCTAATACGACGAGGTGTTTGCCAATTCGACCCGAGCTATATGACACGTCGTTCATGAATGGCAGATGAGAAACAGTCTTGATACGCCCTGACGGTCAAGGGTTTGCTGATCCTGGTCCCGTCCACAAGACAGAGCAATGCCGCCAGGGTCCTTCGCTCTAAGCTGCCGATGAAAGGGTGATTGTCCCAGAGGTTCACTCAATGTTTACACTGATTTCTGACTGTTATTGAATGCCAATTTCCAGGTAACCTGACATCTATGTGTATAGGTGATATTCAGCTGACATCGAGCTCATACTGGTTCATATTTAGGCCACATCCCCTTCATTCTCGCTTCAAAAGCTACACTGCCATATCACTCATCACAAACCCACTATGACTCGTAACATCTCCCTCTTCAAGCATAAAATTTGACGTGCCCGTGTAGTATGCCCTCCCCTCCACGCGCACCACCACCGCATCCTTGGCCGGAGCATTTCCACCCTCCACCCGCAATCCCGTCTGTACAATCTCAGCCTCAAACGCACCCGTCTGAAAGCGATTGGAGACAATCGAATTGTAAGCCCACCGCTGACCAACCGATCTCTCTCCCTTCGCATGCGCTAGCGCCATGCGAGCCGTGACACATGAGCCTGTCGGCGACCGATCAATCTGGTTTTCGGCGAAGAAGCACAGTCCGGTCTCGGCTCCAATTGCACTGTCTCGCTTGTATCCGACATTCGTGTCCACCAGCATGATGGAGTATAGGTACGATAGTCTCCCGTCTTCTGGATGCTGGCAGGCAGCCAGAATATCAGGATGGGTTTCAAAGTGCGCTTTTAGTCTTTTCATCACCTGTGATAGTGAATCAAGATCGACCTTTCTCAGTCCCGTGGATGCGAATCCCAGCTCGTGCATTTTAATCAACGCGTAGAATGCCCCTCCATAGCTGACATCAAGGGTGATGCTCTCACGCCCTTCAAGCTCAGTCCATCGAATCTCAGGTGGAATGGAAATAGTAAGATTGGTCGCAGCAGCATAACCTGGTGTGGACAGGAACGAGACCGCCCGCGACGGATCGGACTTGATCCCATCGGCCGTGTCCTTGATCGGGACGGTGATACGAGCCAATCCGCACGGCGCATGCAAGTTAACGACAACTGTTTGCGACGCAGCGTCTACTACCAACTCATTTCGCTTCGAAAAAACAGCCACATCATGCGTATCGACAAGAAATCGGCCCAGTGCGATGGTTGCGTGGCCACACATGGTGGAGAAGCCACCGTTGTGGGTGAAGAGAACACCGATGTGAGCTTCACCGGATTCGACCAGTTCAGTGGTTGGTCGGAGAATGGCACCGTACATGTCGTAGTGGCCACGAGGCTCGAGCATAATTCGCTTGCGGAGGTGGTCATATTGATCCCGGGCTTGGTCGCGCTGGGAGAGCAGTGTCCCGCTGAGGGGAGGAAACCCCGCGTAGACAATGCGGGTGGGCTCGCCGGTTGTGTGCATGTCGATGCATTTGATGACTTCGCCGCTGGAGGCGGACTCTAGAGTGTGGGCTAAATCCATAGTGGGAGTGCCAGAGTTTAGTGTTAGGCTAACCTGTGATGAATAGGACCACTGTAACTGGAGGGATACATGGGTAATAAGTAATGATTGGCTTCGGCTGGCATCCCGAGACTGGCGCGGGGTGGGCTGCGGCCCGATTCACAGGCGCCACTTAGCCGGTTATCAGGCTTTACTAGTACAGAACATGCTTTGTGCATGCTGTCTTGCTCGGACTTATTAGACATGATGCTCATTGGGAAATCCTATTTTGTTCTATTATATAGTCCATCAAAGATCCTTGAACATAAAACACGGCGAACTCGCTAGTCTACAATCCCTTCTTGACCGCATCAGCCATCTCCCCCAAGGTATCAAACCGCCAGTCATAGACTGTCTCTGAAAGATTCCCCATTGTTGCCCCTGGTCGCTCAATCCACACGGACTTCAACCCCATCTTGCGTGCCGGGTGGTGGTCATGGAACTGGCTTTGCGCGGTTTGCAGGACCTGCGCAGGCTCAATGTCAAAGTACTCCTTGACTGCCTTGAGCAGATATTCAAAGTTTCGGAGATCCGGCTTGTAAGAGCCCACATCTTGTACAGTGATGATGAGATCAAAGGGAAATCCCTGCAAGCTGCCAGTATTGGTTTTGGCAAAGGAAGCGCGATCGACGTTGGACAGCACCACCAGCTTGTACCTCTGGGCCAGTCGCTTTAACGCGTCGACGGTGTCCGGGAAGGCGGGCCAGTTGCCGATGGATTCTCTAAACTGGCGGCTTTCCTCTTCTGACGGCTGAGGCAGTCCGAGGCGCTCGGTCCACTGAGGATGGATGGTGGCGAGGAGTTGTGAGTACGGCATGTCGGGCGTCTGTGCTTGTTGCGCGCGCTCCAAGTCATGGTAGACAGTGAGGAGGTGTTCGCGGGTGAAGTGGGCGTTGGCTTTGTCGAGACTGGGTTGGAAGGCGGCCAGGATGCCACCTTCCCAGTTGACTAGAGTGCCATAGACATCGAAGCTGAGGAGACGGTAGTTGGAGAGTTGCGACATGTTTGAAAACTTGAATATTGATGGTAAAAGACAAATAATGTGACTTTGGACAGAGAGTTGGTGGAATTCAGTACTAATTTATACTCTGAAGAAATCACCAGGCGGGGTTGGAACAGGTGATGGATGTCCCTCCAGCCGGTCGCCTTTCTTATCAGCCAAAAGGTCGGGGACCCTTTCCGGCAACGGGATCCGCTCCGGTCGGAGCGATGGCATTATCTGAGGGAATCTCTTCTTCGAGAGACTTCAATTCACTGCACCAACAGAAACTGGAAGAATTACCATTCCATCCACTCCGGGTACCTTCACCCGAGCGGTGTCAAAGGCGGTGAAAGCAGTTGTGTTAGTACTTCGTCTGATCCAGTACTTTCTCCGCACTTAATTAAGTTCCCCGACTTTCATCCCCATAATCACTTTGAAGAGTGTCCCGCCGTCAACAAAGCTGCCATCATGTCCCCGTCTAAAAAACGCAAGCGCTCATCTCCCCCTCCTCCTTCCAGACGCTCTGCCCGTCTCAAAGGACAGGATGCTACCGCCAGTAGCAGCAGCAGCAGCCGTCCCACCGTGCCGCCTCCCCCTCACCCGCGGAGAGGCTTGTCTGTGCTGTCAACAGACACTGAGAACTCACAAACTATGCCGAAGCTGCTCAGCGATGCTGTCCAAAGGATCTCGACATATTCTGCCCAGGGTCGACAGCACGAGGACAAGCTTAAACCGGCTCTAGAAGCATGCTTGGAGTGGTTACCGGATGAAGGAAAAGTATCTGTTGCCCGAGATATCCTAGCTACTACTACGGATGAGGATTTACATCAAGTGTTCTTCAATCTCCTCACCGCACTTGTAATGCCTAGTAAGTCAACCAAAAGTCCAACAGGCATCGACTCAGAAGTAATCTCTAACTAGACAAGTGAAAACGCGGTCGCATGCCGGCTCCGTGACAAGTTCCCCGCACCCTCACAGACAAGCTGCAGAAGAGGCTGTGGCCTCAACTCTTGATCAACCCCCTGAACGCGAGAATAGATTTCGCAATGATTGTTTACGGAGAGATGACTACCGTTCCGTGGCGAGCGGCCTTCTGGACCATGATACCTATCTCGAACGAGGAAGGCCCCAGGGCGTCGGTTCAGCAAGATTAACGGTAGCCCACATCGTGCCTTTTTCTTATGGGAGCTGGAGTACGGCTACAGTAAGATACTACCGTACGTTATAATCCTCTTGATACTGACTATAAAGCAGGTACAACCCCATACCTCTACTATATGGGAGGCTCTCCTGCGTTGCTTCCCCGATATTCGCCGTATTGGGTTTACACCTGAAAGCATCAATGATGTGCGCAACGGTATGACAATGGATGTGGCTCTACATATTTCATTCGACTCCTTTGCCCTGGCTTTTAAAAGCACAGTAAGTAATTGTCTGGTTATGAGTGTTATTATGAGCATACCTGACTGAGTGGCCAGGATACCCCGAACATGTATGAGTGTATGAAGTTTAGAGGCTTCACCACCTCCGATGCCAACTATTTGCCTGATAATGGTGTAATAGTCCTAAAGCAGGCACCGGGCACGGAGGATCTTCCACTTCCCAGTCCCGTACTACTTGACTGTCATTATCGGCTTGCCGAGATCCTAAATGCTTCTGGTATGGGCGATGTTATCGATGAGCACTGGCGGCGCTGGGAAGAATTGAAGGCTACAGTCCAACACACGCTGCGGTCAGATGGAGATAGTGATTTGGGTAATCTGCTAAGAACTGCTTTGTGGCACCGCGTGAGAACGTAACGAATTGCGGCCCAGGCATGTAGTACATGCGAAATCGGGAATATGAGGTATGAGAGATGCAATGTGCATGGCGAGCATGCCAGTCGTGTGATATCTGATATTCACATCTTGTTCACTAGCCATAATGGACGATGGTCAATTGGCCGCCCATGGCATGCAGTCTCAACACACTGGGCCAGGCTGCCCAGGTAGAACTTCCGCCCCGTGAGTCCAGGGCCATAATGGGCGTATTTCCCAGAGTTCGTCATGATTGCATTGAGCGACCGTGGAATAATGGGTTCAGCAATCATGCACCAGCAGGTATCAGTGATAAATCGCACACCAAACCTCTCCAGCTCCTGAATAAGCCCGGCTTGATCAGCCAAGCCGTATGTCGCCCGACTACAGGTTACCATCACCGCCACCCCCTCGCATTTCGTACGCCCCTGGCATAGGGTAGCTAATCGTCGAATTTCTCTCAGTGAGAAATGTGGGTTACCAAGAGAAATGAGACCCACAGTTTGGGCGTCTGATGCAGTGTTCAGTGTATCCCAACAGGGTGTCAGCTCCTCCACCTTCACATCCAGACAAGGTGGGTGGGTTTCGGGTCGAATAGTGGCTTCTATGGTCTTCGCCTCTGGTGTAATACCAACCATGTGGAACATCGGAGCACTTGAGACAGTCGCAAATGCGGCCCCAAACGCCTTGAGGTCATCCCGATTCGGGGCTAGGGATTCAAGGCCCACGATCACCGGGATCTGATTGGTTGCCAGGGTCCCTACGTGATACCCAAGCACAGGATAAAAGGAGTCATCGACCTGCAATTCCTCGGTGTCTGGTAATCGAATAATCAGTGTAGCTTGGCGGTTGGTATCAATATGCGGTCCCCCTTTGGGGGCGCGGCCAGTGAGAGCAATGGCGATATCGAGAAAGTCGGGATACTTCATGGTACGCGCCCCAAGCACACTGTTAGCATACACCACAGCATTGGATTCTGCCCAAGCGATTTGATCTCCGAGTTTAGGGGCGCTGTCCAGCTGGTAGGGACTGCATGTAAAAGTTGGCCGCGCACCCATGTCAATATACGCTTTGGCCAACCGGTCGGCCGCTTCCCCAAACGCCACATCTACGCCTTGGGCCCGCCATCGCTTCTGGTCGACAGAGATAGAGTTCAGGGTGGTCGGAACAAGGACCTGACCTCCCAGATCGCGCAGCCTCTCTGCAAACATTAGCGATCCAGGTCCGGTATAGATACAGCCATCGACGTGAACCTGGGTGACCGGGATCAATTCGCGAGCCTCTAGTAACTCGGACATTCGCAGAACGATCCGCATGGCCACGCGAGCAGCTTCTCCATATTCGCCCTGAATCAATGCTTTATCCTCATCGGACAGTTGCACCTTTGTGGTCAGCGCCAATGGTGTTTTGGAGTGACAGTCAGGCAGTTCATGCAATGTCCCGGGTGACTCCTTGTCGAAGATGTAACCATCACCGACCGTGATATAAGTATCATGCAGTTCCAGCACCCGTTGAAAGTCGTCTGCATTCAGTGTTATCACTGGAATTGCCCTGCCGAACATCTCCTCCGCGACCATTACCCCCAAGGTGAGGATATCCTCACGGCGCTCAAACAGTATTGCCTTGGGTCCGCGGTTGTTGAGTAGGAGTTCAAGCAGCACCCCGCTGCCCGAGCAGGACCCACGACCACCTGGAATCGCGAGGATGCGACCTTCCAGAGAGTGGCCATTCAAGGGGTGGTGTTGGTCAATCACCCGGCCTGTTTGGGGGTCGACGCCACCCCAGAAACTCAACTCCACGTGGCTGGCAATAAGCCTTCCAGAAGCCGTTCCTTTCACGTGGGGAACTCCATGGCAGAGGGGCGGGGGGTACATGCTTGTAAGAAGAACTGTCATTTTAAGATCGCACCGGAAAAGCCATTCTTTTGGTAGGACGATGTTCTTTAAGTAACAAGAAGGCTCATGCCATGATGAGGATGGTCAAAGCTGGGGGGAATCTTTGGTTCGGTGATTCGGCAAAGGAGGCCGCGATAGCAGCCTTAGGCCATCGATAACCAGTTACCCGCTCGGGAAAGTCATCCGAGGACTATCATCTAGACACTCTCATGTTCCACAGTGCAATGTCCACCATGATGACATTTATGTGGAATATAGGAAGAGTAGTAATGAATCAGTACAGGGGATTTATCGAAATGATATCATGTATTTCCTATGTGGTCTCGGCCGATAGCCATGATGATATATACGCGAGAGTAAGCCTGCAAGATGCGGACTGAATTCATTTTCCGCAATCATCGCCTTCCAAGCAAGCAGATTTTACCTAAAAAACAGAGTGGCGTGACCTCATTCTGGACAGAATGCGGATATAAATAAGCATGTGCATCTGGCGTCTTTTCAAGGTTACTCTTCTCACCAAGCTACCCTTTCCTGCAGTCATTCGCTAATCGTCGAGAGCATTACAATGGCAGAGCTTCTCGAGCCAGTCATTCTCGGGGATGGAAATTGCGCAATCGTATTTGCATGGGGTCCATGACGCGAAATCGATGCACCCATGGAAACAAGCCGACCCAGGCGAACATCAAGCATTACACCGACCGAGCGCGAGACGGCACCGGACTTATCGTCGCAGAGGGCACCTTTATCAGTCTGAACGGTGCCGAATGGCCCCACGCGCCTGTAATGTACAACCAAGACCATTCAGATGCTTGGGCCAAGGTGACAAGCGAGGTGCACAAGGTTGGGGGAAAGATTCTCTTCCAGCCATGGCATCCAGGTGAGTCGAGCCCTGCTTATCATCGATATCCTGATCGGAGAGGGTAAGATTACTCACTGTAACGTACTACTTGAATGCAGGACGCATCCAGAATGACAATATGCCGATGTTGAAAGAAACAGGATATCCGGTCTATGCACCATCCAAGGTACCTGCCAAGGGCGGAAAATATCGTACATTGGATGGACTTCCAGGCCACACCCACAACATCACCGAGATCGATGACCCGAGAGGTATTATTGAACAATATCGGCACTCTGTAAGCTTGGCCAAGTCTGCTGGATTTGATGGAATTGAGCTACTAGCACAAGGGTGAGCACGCAAGAAAGACGACCCTTCGTGAAGCGGCCATCGACACTGACACTGCGGCTGACTAGCGGGTATCTTCTACACAACTTCCTGTGCTCGTAAGCGATATCCCTCCAGATAATGCATGCTTCACGAGCTTATCTGGTGTCTAGGCACTCGAATACACGCAGCGACATATACGGTGGTTCTGTCGAGAATCGCTGCCGTTTCCCGCTAGAAGTCCTCGACGCCATCATTGAGGTCTGGGGATCTCGAGCAGTTGGGATCAAGATCTGCCCTACAGATGACTATAATGACACCATGATCTCATATGAAGAAATGAAAGAGACTTACACATACTTCATCAAGGAGCTAATGTGTCGTAACCTCGCTTTTATCAACTTATCGCGTCGAGGTTGTGATGTGGGGCGCGAAACCGATGACTATTTCAGGTCCCAGCCCAGGCCTGATGGGAAAGAATTACCTCCAAAGTACGAGCCTCTGACGGACTTTGGCGCTCTTATCAAGTATCCTGGAAGTCGCACTATGCTCATGGTAAACCACGAGTACACGGTAGAGGAGGCAAGATGTCTATTGCAAAAAGAGAAGATTGACCTCGTGACATTTGCACGGCCATTTATCTACAATCCGGTGGGTTTGATAATAGCGTTCGTTAACTTTGGTACTAGCTTACATGGAGGAATTGTCCCTCTTGCCTCGAACACTCGCGGTGGTAAAGTCAATTATGGACCATTCCAGGATCCCAATGAGAATTACAATGATTGGCCGTCATTTGGAAGGGAGGGTGGGGCTATTGCCGGTTAGACAACCTGCTCCCAGTTCACGGAGGTGCGTCGGAAAACGGTGATTAAAATCATCGCATGCTACAGCTACCTTGATAACAGCCAAGGAGAAAGAAGGGACTTGTCTAAGACACAAATACCAGCACCTTCCCGATAGATGGTATTAATTTGCATTATCGGTAGAGTACTATATATTTCCCAACCGGTCATAGTATCATTAGTAGTGATAACGACACATAAATATATATTGAATTGAATATAGCAAGAGGCTGAGATTGTAAAAGGAAGCGCCACCAATATAAAATGAGCGATCGGAAGAACATGATTTTCTTGGATCACATGCGAACAATTCCAGATAGGGTTCTGTCTAACTTCTAAAATGAAGCCGAGCAAGTAATAGTGTAGATGGATGCCTGTTTGGAACGGTTTGATTTTCCAGTCGGCGGGCCCGAGCACGCCGCTCCACTAGGATGTCCCAAACAGAGCCAATGGCCGATGGTATCCTTCCTTAGTGGCTCGATAGTTGGGAACGCGTGGCTTGATTTTAAATTTAGCATAATCTTGAAAGTGACACGAGTACAGCTTCCAATTTCCGGAGAAAAGCACAAGCGGAGAGTGCTTATATCTTCGCATCTGCCCAGTGTCCTGCCATGGTGGTCAACGGTTTTTCCCCTTGCATCGCGCCCTTCTGACCCCTTTAGTCACTCGTTTGGTCGCCTATAGCATTCACTTATTCATTCATTTGATCTTCAGTTCTTGTTCTCACTCTCTCCTTCAATTGAGCCAAATTTTACTCCGCGACCATGCGGTTCGTCATTCCATTCCTCACCCTCAGCTCCCTGGCTGCGGCCATCAGCATCACCGAGCCGGCCCTCAACTCAACCTACGCCGCCGGTTCCACCATCACCGTCAACTGGACCACGGTTGATACCGATCCCACCACCTTCAGCCTCTATCTCTGGAATTTCGTCTACTGGCCACCCTCCTATGTTCCCCTGGCAATTGACATTCCGACCTCCGACCTGTCATACCCCGTGCAAATCCCCTGCGACACCGATCCCGAGTGGGGCTACCAGATCAGCGGGATCAACGGCACCAACGTCTATATCATCTACGCGCAGTCCGAGAAATTCTTCGTCTCCGACGCGGCCAACGCGACCGACTGCGTTGATTCGAGTCTTACCGCACCCGGAGCATCTGCTACATCTACCTGCCCTGCAGCATCTACCGTTTATGTCACGGTGAGCCCTACCGCGTCCAGCTCTGCTTTGTTCCACCACAGTCATCACCATGATCATCATCTGCTCCATCACCACTCCTCCCATCTCCCGGCTCCTTCATCCACTCCTGCTCCTGCCTCCTCCAGATCTGTCAAGCCAGGAATCGTGCCTAAGACTATTGGTTGGTGTTCAGACTATTCCCACCCTGTGACCTTGAACAAGGTTCCCACGCCGACGGCAGCATTGTATGAAACGCAGACGGCGTCCCAGGCCAGCACTCAGGATGTCAGCTTCGTGACGGCCACCACTACCATGAGCGTTGTCGGCAGTGCCGGGAGCGATGGATGTCCTTTTGCCTGAGGGGAAATCCTTTGAGTGCTTACCTGCCCCTTGTGTGATCGACCTCTCTGATCTGAACCTCCTACTATGTAAGATGATATACAGTAACATAGTGCAACTTGACAGCCTGTATACATGACACATTCCATATATACCGGTTTACATACTTCTAGAGAAAGTATTTGTAAAGTCTTGTGATTAATTTCATTTGTAAAAGTCGTGCGCATCTCAGCGGCTAAAATCCTCCCAAATTTGTGCTGTGGTAGGATAGGAATCCCCTACTATACTAAGCTACATTGACTGCCGACCAAACAACCCGACATATGCTATGTGTATCTGTAGATTACTCCTGCACACCCGCAATCATGACCTTGAACACATCCGACCGTCCCGCCTTGACCAACTCAAATGCCTCCTCGGCCTTCTCGAACGGGAACCGGTTCGTGATCAACCGCTTCACATCAATCTTGCCCTTGGCGATCAGATCAATAGCCGCAGGGTAGCATCCGGTCAGATAACGGATCGATCCCTTGATGGTCAACCCACGCGTGCATACCGCCGTAATGGGGAACGTGATGTTCTCCTTGCCCATACCGGCCTGCACGAACGTGGCTCCGCGGCGGACGGCATAGATACCCAACTGGACACACGGCTCAGCAGCAGAGCACTCCAGCACCACGTCAGCGCCTTCTCCCAGTCCAAGCTCCTCCTTCAGCTGTATCGCCACGCGTTCCGCGTGCACCATCGGGTCGGTGCCTGGCTCGGCCCGCGAGGGCATGAACGTGTGATCGACGCCGTACGACTTGGCGACTTCCAGTCGGGATGGAACTACATCCACTCCGATGACGGTCTTTGCTCCAGCGGCCTTGGCCACAGCCTGGCAGAGTACGCCGATCGGACCACAGCCCAGAACCAAGACGGTCTGATGGGCTTGCAGGTTAGCTGTCTTGGTGATGGCCACGGCGACCGATACAGGCTCAACCATGGCTGCTTCCTCGAGAGTCATGTGGTCTGGCACCTTGTAGCAATAGTCGGCGGCGTTGACGTAGTATTTGGCCAGTGTGCCATCCCAAGGCGGGGTCGCCGCGAAGATGGTGTCGCCGCAGAGGTTATACGACCCACTGCGGCAGTAGTCGCAACGACGACAGGGTACGCCGGGTTCCATGGCGACGCGATCGCCCGGCTTGAGGTGTCAGACTTTGTCACCGACTTCGACAACTACGCCGGAGGATTCGTGGCCGAGGACCATGGGTCCAGTGAGGATGAAATCGCCGATGCGACCGCGTTGCCAGCTGAACTTATGTCAAAGACTCTGTCCATGATAGGGTACATGAGAGGATCCATACTAGTGAACCTGGGCAATACGTTAACCTGGAACTATATAGACCACTGATTGTGAGGATAAAGGAGGGAAAAAAGTCATACATCACTTCCACAAATACCTGTCTGTGCCACATGGACAATCACATCGTGAGGGTCTTTGAGGGTGGGTTTGGGCCGGTCTTCAATGACGACGTCTTTGATGTCTCGCAGGACAAATGAGGGGTTCTACCCGGCGCATCAGTTTGGCATATTGTGACTGCAGAAATAGGCTCACCTCCATGGTGCTGATGGATTAGTTTCGATGATTTTGTAGTGATATTTTGTTTCCTTAAGGTGCGGCGAGCTTTGATGCTTTCTCTCCCAAACCAGTCGTTGATCTGGTTGGAGAGCACCATCTTCTACCCCTCTTCTCGTCATGTGCAAAGACAGTCCAGGAGGAGATGTACTGAAACGGGTATGTTTGCCGGGGATTGTTGGCGTGCAGGCCCCTTGTAGATCACTCCTGCTTACGACTACCCTCTCTATATCCTTAGCCCTTTAGCCATTTCCCATCCTTATACCTACGGAGTATCTGCGACTACGCTGCGCTTTCTGCTTTAGCTTTTCGAGTACGTACGCATGCTTTGAAAATTGCGATTGAATACAATTATACGACAGTACCCCTTTCGACTGGTTCGTAAGGGGAAATCCCCGACTTATACTGTATCTATAGACTGGATTTCCCAAACGGGTGATCGCCCAACCTTCCCTATCGAGCATCTCTCTCGATTCCTACTCTTTCTCTCTTTAGCTGGGTGCATTTTGGACATATTAACACTATAGCCTGTTTGACATGTCCTGTGTCATCCAATACCCAATCATCAATGTCGTCGCGTCATATCCAAACAACCCAAACATCACATACAGCGTAGAAGCAACTGATAGATGTCATTTGTAGCCAGGAACCACAGTTACAGTTTGGTTGATAGATCAATCTGCACGCAGTCTCGGCGCCTTAGTAGGCACCAGCAGCCAGCTGATACCCGTAGCGCACAGTAGAGCCAATAACATGGGCTGCAGGGCCTTGACGCCGGTGTGGGAAGAGATGATGCCCGTCAATACGGGGAAGAGCGATCCTCCAATCTGCCCCAGCACGAATACGAATGCTGGATACATAAAGTTACCACGTTGCTTGTTGGATTACCATGGAATCCACGTACCAATCCCGGAGGAACGAATGTTAGCCGGAAAGATTTTAGATGCGACCGATATTCCCTGTGTGCGATGTTAGACGGTGAATGCTATTGTAGAATGTAACAGAACTCACTGTTGCGAAGAAGGGCCCCGAGAAGAAGCCCAAAAGGCAAATAGCCATGGCCTCAACTCCAATATTTGGCACCCTATACTATGAGTCAACCTCTGAAGGTCTAGCGCAACACTGGGTGAACAAACAGCCAGAACACCAACTCCAACCCGGCACACAGAGCAGCGTAGATGAATATCATGCGACGCTCTCCTAGACGATAAGTAGGTTCGGCTAGAAGTAGTCGACCAAGAAAAGCTCCGCCATAGAACCCCGTCGGGATATAACCCATCTGGTGCACATCACCATGCCGAACGCGAACAAGGTACTCGACAATCCATCCTAACCACTGTGAGTCTCTTTTTCACTTTACCGAATATGGGTTCACTTACCACCGGCCGTGATGGCCGCTCCCAGGAAAAAGAAAAAATAGAGACTTGTCAACCAGACAGCTGGTACACGAAGTGTATCCTTGATCTCCCTTACGGCACGGGTACCGCGACTGTTCTGACCCGAAGCCCGCGGGTCGTCGCTTTGAACGGCTTCTGAGGAATGATGGATGGACATGCTATCGCGAAAGGCTATCAATACCAGGATCAGGTTGATTAATCCCAAACCAAGTGGAAAGACATAGAAGAGATTCCACTGTGACTGCCTATTAGCAGACGCCACAGCGGTAGCCACCAATGGCCCGACGAGACACCCAGCCATGTACATGGCATGGATAAAGCCGAGCCATCGGTGGGCGGCCTTGACCGCAGCGACATATGTATTGGCATGGGTGTCATTGAATGCTTGTCCTAGACTAGCTAGGAAGAAAGTTATAGCATACAATGGGAACGGCGGAAGCCAGGCACGCAGGACATGGGCCAGCACCTGAAGTGCAGCCCCCAGAGCGAGCATAGAACCTAATCCGAGATATTGGCAGGCGGTGCTATTGGTTAGGGCAGCCACCAACCAGCCCACGAGAGTTGTAACATAACTAGCATAACTATCATTAACCGTAGGTGGGTGGGTTTCTGCTTCGGGCGAACCTACACGATAATTACCAGACCGGTACTAACGTGATACGTCTCGAGCACGTAGGGAAGCAAGGAGCCTAAACTGCCGTCGTTGACACCAGCGACGAAAAAGGAGAAGCCCGATGCGATGAGCTTCAGGTAAGGGACTTTAGCCTCGGTAACGGAAGAATCATTGTGTGGTTCTTCTGCCACCATCGAGATTGGCCGTTCTCCTGGCTCGGTGAGCGAGATGGATTCACACGCAGTGGTGGATGCCATTGAGAACGATTGATATGTGATGCTACATGGACGTATATTGGGTCTCCCTCCGACTTATACTGTCAGACTTGAGTTCTTTGTTGTGCGAACCCCGATGCCCTAATAGGGGAGAGGCTGTTACTCCGTTTCTCCGCTTCGCGGGGAGGCGGGGAGTGGGGAATCTTGCCAAAACAGGCAATACTGGCAGCCGTCACGGGTCCTCCCCGGTGCTCTTAGCCGGGGTTGCTGGGGAGAACATTTCCTACGGTCGCGTTTCGGCACCATGACTTATGGCTGAGAGATATGTTGCTGTGAGTCTATATACAAATTGATTAATCGATAGAACTCAATGGGATGTAATTGTGCTGGCAGATTGGCGCTCTGGACGTATTAGCAGAGGAAGCATCACTCTACTATCGCTGCATACTGCCAAGCGGTAACGAAGCACGGCATTCATCTCAGTATATTTTCTGTGGGATCATTAGCCTGACTCCAGTTTGTTGACAGGTCGATTCCCTCTATTGCCCGCCGTACTCTCTATCCCCCACAGCTTGCTTACGTGGCCGTTGACGTTGGATGAGGCCCATGCGTCGCACTGTCTTTATGCCCCAGGTACCAATTCTCTGGGAACTCCAGCGGCAATGGATTTAGGCGCACCGATGCCAATAATGGCTCAGAGAATTATTGTAAAACAATCGTTGAGTTTTATAGCCATAACATGAACAGCTCGGTCTGAACAAGACGAGCGCACTCTACCTGGAGATCTCAAGGTTACTCTGAGACACGCCCTCCCTTCAAGCAAGCCCTATTCTTCTCGCTAAGATTACATCAAAGCTCAGCTTTGCCATCCATGTCATCCGACTCTCCAATCCTGCGATGGATAACAGCCGCAACCTCGTCACTGTTCTCCTCCAGAAACACCATATGACCATTACCATGGATGTCGACATCTGACAACTGCAAGTGTTCAGCCTGTACCCCGGCCTGTTGCAAGAACCTCACCGTGCACCAATCATACTGCGCATGGTATGATGCTTCCGCCGTCACTAAGAGCACGGGAATCTTGTTCAGGTTTACCAGTTGCCTCGCAGGGGGGTCATCCGCTTGCATGATGCAGTCCGCCAGTATTGACGAGTTGGACGACAAGATTGTGGTGGAGAAGTCTGTGCTCGGGTCCGACACTGGCGGCGAGTACGCGATGGGGATGTCTGTCAGCCCATATGCCCGGGCAGTAGTATTTCCAAACATTGCGTTGCTGAATGGAGGACCACCAGGCTCGATGGAGACAATCGAGTGTACCAGATCGGACCTTTGGTCGGCTAGTAGCCATGCCATGATTCCGCCTTGCGAATGAGCCATCAAAATAACTGGCCGGCCAATTCGATCCAGCAGGGCGGCGCCCGCGTCGCGCATGGCAGTTTGCTGCAGCACATTATCACTGACAAATGGCACAGCACCGGCGTAGTAGGAGTCAAATATGGGATCACGCATGACCCCAGCTCCAGGCCACTGGGTGTGCAGGGATGCTTGTGGCCACAGCCCATACCGTTCAGGCGCGGTGAAGTATCGCTGCAGGTGTTCGGCCGAGTACGTCTCCAGTGGACCGTTGGATATTTGCCAGGGACTGCGGCCGCGGAACGGCTGATCGAACAGGTAGCATTCGTAGCCTTTGTCAAGGAAGTACGATGCCCATCCTGGCTGGCCGTCTGGCTTGTTCAACCAGTTCTGTCCATGCTCTGTTAGTGCTATTCAACCAACTGAGTCTGGGCTGTCCTACTGTGGCTGTCTGAGCCTGGCCATGGATAAACACAATCGGATATGGCTGAGTCACTTGTACGGGCGTCAATTTCTCGACATAGATCTGATTCGTGTATACATGCTCGCCATTCTCAGTGACCGAGTAGTTTCCCCCAACGTAGAAATAAGTTCGTTGGTGGATGCTTTCGCCACTGGCGGGAGAGAACAGAGCCAGGAGGTATAGACTGAGCCGAGTGAGCATCGTGCGATACAGAAGTCCAACTGGTAGGAAGAAAGTTGGATTCATGAATGAAGATGGGAATGTGTCGGGACAAGCTTGGGATTGCCGTGGCAACCTTCCTGCATGTCATCTGCACCTGCTGCGGACGCATCGCATATGTGGCGCCATAAGGGTTGCACGTCGCTCAGAATAAAAACTCTCGACAACCAACTGTTGTCCTGTCAGTTCATGGCTTATAAGTGTCCCGAAGAAGAGGAGGCATTCTTAGTGAGCCGTGGGATACGGTGGGAGTTACTTGTCTTGGCAATACACCTACTATATGTGTACATACATACATGCAGTTCACGAATGGACAAGTATCTACGATCATGTTCTCCATACTCATGGAGGCTTGATTTCCCTGACCTAGCACTGAAAGAGACAGTAACGTGTGCGTCAGCTCAAGGATGAAATTGCAGTCATCAGAACGTGAGCTACTCGGAGTTGCATGACCGGTTGCAGATGGGCCTAAAAAACTTCCCACTTGGTGGCAGGCTATTGGTGTAACCAACGAAGAGGACCTCAGCTAGATACCCTGTGGCTGCGCTAAGCAAACCCTACTTTATATGGTGAGACCGAAGCAAGAGGTTACTATTACCACCGAGGGCCATTTTCAGCATACAGCCAAGCAAATTAGATGTTCGATACCCTAGTGATCGATCGCTTTATTGCCTAGACCCTCGATGACGGCTGGGGCCGATCGTTAGGCGTGTCGATCTGGAGGACGGAGGTCTGACAGGACCCCTACTATGACGGGCTCGTCAATATTGCTCATTTCCCTGGGGCAAGCCCGGAACCAATAGACCTTTGGCTTTGGCTCCAGTTCAGTTGGTCTTACATATGAACTACTCCATAAAGGTGGTGTTCTTTTCCTTCTTTCGTCAGTAAAGCTTGTCAGCCTTGTTTCACCCTTAGCCCCTTGGCCATAGCACTAGATCATCCTCGTGCTGCAGCCATTGGCCAGGTAAATCACTCGCTTTTGGAGGACACATCGAGCTTACTGAACCGAGCCAATGGCGGAAGAAGCCTATATTGCTGCCTAGTATATTTGCGTATTGGAATTGAGGCTAATGGGCGAAGCTTCTGGTGCGTGTTTTGTGCGAGCTGCGGAAACCCCCGATCTTCGTCACACCCGGTTTAATTACTGACCATACTTACAACTTGATGTATTTCAGGATCATATATTACCACAGATTACATACACAACATCGATGTTGTCCGCGGATCCCGACACTCCTCAGGCCTCTCAGAGACTGAGGGTTTTCTTCTTCTCTCCTATACTGTCGGAATAATTTGATGCAGGGCTGTGCCACACACTGGATAGCCGTGTGGAGGACCCGATTACACCCAGCCAGGATATCATCTTGGCACCACCTCCGTACAAACAACAACGAACCCATCGATGGCATCCCCAGCCCGCCTTTTCAGGCGCCTCCTTCGCCAAGGGCGGCGACATGACTGGAGATGGCTGATAGCATACTCGGCTCTGATTCTCCTATCGGCCTCCATTTTCTTGTATTTTCTTCTCGCATACTACCTCGCGGGGGATCCGCGTCTTGTTCCACACACCATCCAGCAAGCGCGGAACGTCCTTCTCGTCACGGCACATCCCGATGATGAGACTTTGTTCTTTAGCCCAACTATCCTTCACGGTCGCGACAACCCGGATGTCAGTCGTTCCTTGTTGGTGCTATCGACGGGTGGGTCGTTTCTCCACCAGAAATCCTCCGAGTAGTATATCTTCTAATGAGGTGCAGGCGACTATCATGGCCAAGGAGATATCCGCAAGGCAGAAATCGAACGTAGTTGTGCCGCACTCGGCATCTCATCTGCTCGCTGCGTTGTTCTAGAGCACGGTGCCTTGCAGGATAACCCAAAGAAGTGGTGGCGCCAGGATGTCATTCAGGACATAGTCTCCCATTACGTTCACATGTGGAAAGTCGATCTGGTACGTTTCCCCTACACCCTTCAAAACTAGTGGCCAAGTATTAAGGCTACAGAAGATCTTCACCTTCGATGAGGGCGGAGTCTCCGGCCATATCAACCATAAGGCCGTGAGTGCCGGTGTTCGGTAAGTGGATTGCATCCATACTATTCAAAGCACTGAGGCTAACTGGGAGCAGAAAGTACGCAGAGGACTTTCCACATGCCCCGCCAGTTTATGCCCTACAGAGTACATTCCTCCTGCGCAAGTACTCGTCGCTCATTGATCTGATCTTGACCTCTGTGCCATTCACCTGGCGCATCGGGGCAGCGGTCCTGACAGCCACGCCGGCGCCCACAGGACACGACATATACGGAAACAGAGCGCTGCTGGTAAGTCCGTGGCAGACCTACCTGACTGCGCGAACAGCATTCAGTCAACATGATAGTCAGTACTCATGGGACCGGGTGTTGTACTTGGTAGTGAGCCGTTATATGTGGTTTAATAATCTGTATCGAATAGCCTAAGCAGTGATCATGTTCTGTCAAATATTCTTTCATTAAGCAAAACTATTTGTCTCCAATATGGTATCCAAACGTAAAACCGTGAGCAAGATATCTAGCTATAAATTACAAGTATTCAAGAATCATGTGCCTTCTGCAAAAACTCTATCTCCTGTGACACTGCGTCCCTCTGGTGCCATGCCCGGCCCCGAGACACACATAGGCTCACAGCCCAGCATCCTCCTGCCAAGGCGACCAGGACCAATCCAAACGCCACCCGTTGATCCATATTCGCAAACGCCTTGATGAATTTTGCGTCTTTCTCGTGCCAGGAGGAACTGCCCAAATGCCGAAAGAGCGGGGTGTTGACCACACCGTTGAGCATATGCATTCGTGGGTTCTCGGAGGGACCAATTAGGACGCGGAGGGTAGAGGTATCGTGCTGCATGGTGTAGATGGTTCTATAACTTGTAAGCTCTAATATCTGTTCTCTTTGAGCGTCAGAGAGCGACATACGAGGCATAGTGGCATCCCGTACTGAACATAACTGTGATATAAGGCAATAACGACCATCTTCGATTGAAGGTTGGCAGGTTCCGCACCAGATCACCAACGTAGGTATTGTTCGGTGCCGCGAGCATCATGCCAATGGAGATACCAACGGGGTTGGCCGCCGGCGCGACGAACTCGAATCGACGCAGAGGTTCCAACGACCGTTTACATGCCAGATCATAATCTAACACGGCACCCCCATACTTGTGCAGGATCATGTATCGCAATGCATCCACGCGCTGGACAAGGTGCGGGTAACTTTCCCAGGTGAGGAGAAAGTGCGGATAGTAATTCTGCACGAAGCGGCTAGCGTTTTCGTCCGTCCACAGAAACGTCTCCCAGTCCGGATGTTGCTTGAGACACTCGTCGCGAGCATCCTGCCATTCTGCCCGTGGGGTCTGTGTGCCCAATCGGACGTGGTGCAGCCTTGCGGGGACTGGAACAGGCAACCCAGTGTCGGCGACGGAGTATGTGCTGTTGTAGTCGGAAAAGGTCAAATCGAATCCATCATTTTGTTCAGTGATGATAGCATCGGCTGATGAGGCTTTCCACACAAAGGGTAATCGAAGCAGTAGGTAAAGATTGCAAACAAACGGGGCGAGCAGGGAGGTTAGAATGAATAGTAGGAGGGCTGCCAGCACGAGTCGGAGGCGCGCGGGAGCCATTGCGGCTGGCTGACAGTGCCTGGAAGGCTTCGGGGCTGAGACAAGGCATGGCAAGGAAGAAAAAGGTACATAATGGATATGGAGAGGCTATTTGAGGGATGTAATTGAATAGTGAAGGAGGCAGTGATGGACAGGTTTTGAGCCGCCAAAAAGGCAGGCTCCGATCGGTAATACAGTTGTGATACGGGACACGCCAGTGGTATTTGTGTGTATCGCAGATGGGTTTCACCAGTAATCCTCCGGTCCCGTTTCTGCCTGGACAACTCGACTTTCCGAGCTTCTTTCCGAGGCCGGTGGGATGTTCCCCTGGGTTTGGACTCAAGGGTGGAGACATGATCAGCAATTGGCAAGTCGCGACTGGTACTACGGACAGTCCCGCGTCTAGAGGATTGTAGTGTTTCCCTTTTGAGGTAATGCTGTGCAAGCAAATTGGCCAGGGTACGCAGCCAATCATACCTATGCTCATCACAGAGAGACCACAGTGCAAACAGGGCAGAAAGCTTTTTCTTTGTAATAACAACAAGTGAATCAGCCCCCACCAGAGATGCACTGCCATCTGGCCTAAAAAAGGGTCCACGAATCCAAGCAATACTAAGCTTCGACCCCACCGCGGCTAGGGCTGCGTAGGGCGCAGGCCCTGATGATGGCTCGAATTCTATAAGCCATGCGAGCCATTCCAGCCCCCCATTGGCCAGGACGTGTGATTGGCCTCGTATTATGACACCTACTAGTACTTCCTTGGATTAGTAGTCACTGTAGCCAGGGTCCAGCCAGGGCAAGGTTCTGAGCTTAGGGTTAGTGATTTTTAGGGGCCATTGCTAGGCAGCCGCATTACAAGTGACGGGACCCGCGGGAAGTTATACACCGGCCTGGCGTTGCAGTCAAGACTAGCCACGACGCAGAAAAAGTCGAAGACCAAGGCATATCCATGTCTGCCTAGCCACCCCCCAATGAAAGATTATCATGGCCTTTGCTAACCCCCGCTGATGCCGGATAAATCGACTCCCCACCCGCCTTCCCTGGAGTATTATATTCATCATAACGATGGTCTGGCGCTACATGTTACGACGTCCCGTGCTGGGCGCACTTTGCTTCCTAGTGCTTTTCACCTGGTTACTTCAACAGCCTGATACCTCGATTAAACAGATTTCTCTTCTTCAACACCGTTACCCATTGCTGTTTGAACGCGTTCATACGAACACTCGCAGTGGTGGAGGTAAGCAACATATGACTGCTGAGTAAGACTTTGAACTCGTCGGCTAAGACAGGTCGTCTCCAGCGTGGTACATCCCACCCACCTGGACAAATGGGACGAGACAGCATCCCGAGAACATCGTCGACGCCGCCGAGCGAGTGTTGCGCTTGGCCCAGACGACTGAACGACAGATCCCGCACTCCTCAATCCCCTTGATCGTCCACCAAACCTGGAAGAGCACGCGCGTTGACACCTGGCCACACGTGTTACAGCAGAGCACGGAGAAATGGTTGCGCACGGTAGACGAGCAGATGGCTTATTTTCTGTGGGACGATGACGGAATACGACAGTTCATTCGGCGGTTCGAGCCAGAACGGGAGAAACAGTTCTATGCTTTACCCAGCCACGTGGAACGGTCGGATGTCTTCCGGATTCTCGTGTCCAAGTGGATCGGAGGGGTTGTGAGTAGAATGCCCCTGTCTTCTTATCATTACACGTGTAGGTAACTGACAAACGCGTAGTACGCAGATATCGACACTGAGCCTCTACAATCGCCGACATATTGGATCGCCGAGACTGATATTTTGCCTTGGGAAGATCACGAGACTGGGCGTGCGTATAATTCTACAGGTTCTGTCCATGCAATCGTTGGGTTAGAAGCAGACTGTCCGCCGAACAGTGATACCTACTGGCGCATGGGATACCTGCTGCCCGTGCAGTTGACCCAGTGGGCCTTTGGATGGGCGCCAGGTCATCCGATCTTGCAGATCTTTCTCGACCGTCTTTTCATGGAACCTGCGCTTCAGCCGTATTCGAACGATCTGGACGCACTAGATCCCCTCACCCTCACTGGACCTGTCGCATTTACTCATGCGGTGCAGAGCTGGCTCGAAGCTACGGTCGGTCTCCGATGGAACGCGTTGTCAGGCTTGCAGGATGGAGGGGAAAGTAAATTAGTGGAGGATGTCTTGGTTTTGCCCATCACTGGATTCAGGTATAGCCCGTCTACTTCACATGCATCTCTTGCCATGCGCTAATTCTAAACAGTCCCGGTCGAGGGAAGTATGGAAACATGGGTTCCAAGCCCATCTCGGACCCCTCTGCGCGCTTGTACCATCACGCGCAAGGATCTTGGAGAGAGTTCAACTTGCGAGTTGAGTATGGCAAGCTCTGTCGAACGGTGTTTGGCAAGTGTCGAACGTGGTCCAAAGTGCCCCAGGGTCTGTTACTCTGAGGAGCATCCGCTGAAGAAGACAACAATACTCATAGGGTGGCCTAGTCTCTGCAAGTCTATAGTATGCCCCGGGACGTTTCATGAGCAAATAACTAGATTGATGGCACTGGAAAATCCTCCCAGCCATCCTGGCCAGGCTGCCGGTTCTCCACAATCACTGAAAGCCCCCGATATCCTCCAAATCCATCTGCGCAGAATCCGTCATTCCCCGCGACACGGTCCACTTCACGGAATGCGCCCCCGCGTGCATCGGTCGCATCGGGCACCCAGACCGTATCCCTGACCAGCTGGCCGGGAATTTCGTTCCGACGGGGATTGTATCGAGGCAAACCGGCTAGATGGTTGACAATATTGTGGACAAGTGGGTATAATTTCTCAAATCGCCGTGTGACCCACAGCCAGGAGTGGCTGCGCTCGTCGTATGCTACCCGCACAAACGGGTTCATGTAAACGCCCGTGTCTGCGGTCTCTGTATGGTCCAATGGTGGATCTTGAATATCGGCGTGAATAATACAGCATTCTGATCCATCATAGAATAGATCTTGATCGGTGCGAAAACGAACCGGGTTGTCGCGTCGTTGAAAGTATTTTGCATCGAAAGCCACCATTCCACCCCAGCAGCTGCGCACCCGAACAGCATCTTTGCCTTCCAGCACGTCTTTACGACTTAAGCTCGACCCCGCTGAGGTAAACCAGGGGAAGAACTGGAGGCCAATCCCATAGCCTTCCAGGTCTCTTGTGGCATATGTATCATAGAACTTGAACGCATTGATAAAATCGACTGCGCATGCGGCCCGGTATTGGGCTACCCCGTTCTCATCGATATTAGTAGAGAATAGAAGATGAAGCACGTCAATTGGTTCAAATATCACGTCGTTCAGATATAGTATCTTGTCATATATGATCTCTGGATGCTCATCTAGTGGCCGTAGGGCACGATTCCGTATCTCAGCGAGGTAGTCTGTTCGCTTCACCCGCTCCCCTCCCCCGGGGATTGTTACTGTCGGGAATGCAGTCAAGTCCAGGTCCAGTTCAATTTGTATAGAACTGTTGCACGGCAGTCGGTCCTCCAAATCTCGAAGGGCATTCTGACCTCTAATGCCACTGCCATTCTCGTAGAGGCTGAGGAAGACGTTTTCTTCACCTAGCAGATTGATTAGGTGCAACAGATCATGTCCCCATCTCCCATTGGCTAGCTTACCATCCGGGTCATAGAGGATGGCTGCAATGAAAACTGTCTCATTATGCGAATTCCCTCGCCCTGGAATGCCGGTTCGAGAGGCCTGTTGGTGGAGGAACTGGTAGTGCGGCGGTAGATACGTATACGAGGGCCACAGCATGCCCGTCAAAGCGACCAACAAGATCAAGAAGGCTATCATCAGCCGGACAAGACCACCGAGCCGACGAGAAATTATCCGGCGATTCCCACAGTAAAGAGATCGCCTGGGGTAGAAAAGAATGGCCCCCAATGATGGTTGCCTAAAGAATGGAAGGCGTCTGCCGGTTGCTCTTCTGGGTGTGATCAAGTCTTCCTCCTCGAGGTCCGAAACGGAGAGCAGAGCAATCGAATCAACTGAGAAGCGGGGACTCATTCTAGGGTACTCCGGGGGGCTAAGAGGTATTCGAACCATAATCGCCCATGAAATAGATTCTTTATATACCGACTCTTCCAAAATACATATCAAGTGCTATTGTGTTGGTGTCTGTGGGGCAGTTTAAGGAGTGAGTGGGCGATTGTTTAGTCTATATATTTTTGT